CAAAATTGGCCCCGCCCCAGGCGGTCATTGATTTTCCCTATATGCATATAGTAAAAACTTAAAAAATCTTCTTTTAAAGAACCCAAAGAGCTAGAGCTAAGATATTTGGCATGAAACATCTTCTAGTGAGTGTCTACCAAGTTTGTTCAAATAAAAGCCCTGGGGTCAAAATTGGCCCCGTCCCAGGGGGTCATTGATTTTCCCTATATGCATATAGGAAAAACTTAAAAAATCTTCTTTTAAAGAACTGTAAAAGCTAGAGCTTAGATATTTGGCATGAAACATCTTCTAGTGAATGTCTACCAAGTTTGTTCAAATAAAAGCCCTGGGGTCAAAATTGGCACCGCCCCAGGGGGTCATTGATTTTCCCTATATGCATATAGTAAAAACTTAAAAAATCTTCTTTTAAAGAACCCAAAGAGCTAGAGCTAAGATATTTAGCATGAAACATCTTCTAATGGGTGTCTACCAAGTTTGTTCAAATAAAAGCCCGGGGGTCAAAATTGGCCCTGCCCCAGGGGGTCATAGATTTTCCCTATATGCATATAGTAAAAACTTAAAAAATCTTCTTTTAAAGAACCCAAAGAGCTAGAGCTAAGATATTTGACATGAAATATCTTCTAGTGAGTGTCTACCAAGTTTGTTCAAATAAAAGCGCTGGGGTCAAAATTGGCCCCGCCCCGGGGGGTCATTGATTTTCCCTATATGCATATAGTAAAAACTTAAAAAATCTTCTTTTAAAGAACCGTAAGAGCTAGAGCTTAGATATTTGGCTTGAAACATCTTCTAGTGAATGTCTACCAAGTTTGTTCAAATAAAAGCCCTGGGGTCAAAATTGGCCCCGTCCAAGGGGGTCATAGATTTTCCCTATATGCATATAGTAAAAACTTAAAAAATCTTCTTTTAAAGAACCCAAAGAGCTAGAGCTAAGATATTTAGCATGAAACATCTTCTAATGAGTGTCTACCAAGTTTGTTAAAATAAAAGCGCTGGGGTCAAAATTGGCCCCGCCCCAGGGGGTCATAGATTTTCCCTATATGCATAAAGTAAAAACTTAAAAAATCTTCTTTTAAAGAACTCAAAGAGCTAGAGCTAAGATATTTAGCATGAAACATGTTCTAATGGGTGTCTACCAAGTATGTTCAAATAAAAGCCCTGGGGTCAAAACTGGCCCTGCCCCGGGGGTCATTGATTTTCCTTATATGTGTATAGCAAAAACTTAAAAATCTTCTTTGAAAAAACCCAAATAGCTTGAGTTTAGATATTATACATGAAACATCTTTAAGTAAATATCTACAAAGTTTGTTCAAATAAAAGCCCGGGGGTCAAAACTGGCCCTGCCCTAGGGTGTCATTGTTTTTAACTATATGTGTATAGTAAAAACTTAAAAATCTTCTTTTAAAAAAACCCAATGAGCTAAAACTTAGATGTTTAGCATGAAAACATCTTCTTATGGGTGTCTACCAAGTCTGTTCAAATAAAAGCCCTTGGGTAAAAATTGGCCCGGGGGGGGGGGGGGGGGGGGCGGGCTATATAGAGGTGAGCGACCTCAGGGCCATCATGGCCCTCTTGTTTAGTTATTGCCCTTTGTTCTTTTTCATACTATTTTGTCCGGAGCTTATCTCAAAAAGTATTTGAGGTATCAACTTGAAACTTCATAGGTGGATGGATCTCATTGAGGAAGAGTGCAGTGCAAAAGAACGATAACTCTACCCTGCATAATTGTTTAGTTATTGCCCTTTTTTAGCTCACCTGTCACAAAGTGACAGGGTGAGCTTTTGTGATCGCTTTTCGTCCGGCGTCCGTCCGGCGTCCGTCCATCCGTAAACTTTTACTTTAAATGACATCTCCTCATAAACCACTAAGCCAATTTCATCCAAACTTCACAGGAATGTTCCTTTGGTGGTCACCTTTAAAAATTGTTCAAAGAATTTAATTCCATGCAGAACTCTGGTTGCCATGGCAACCGAAAGAAAAAACTTTAAATATCTTCTTTTAAAAATCATAAAAGCTAGAGCTTAGATATTTGGCATGAAACATCTTCTAGTGAGTGTCTACCAAGCTTGTTCAAATAAAAGCCCTGGGGTCAAAATTGGCCCCGCCCCGGGGGGTCATTGATTTTCCCTATATGCATATAGTAAAAAATTAAAAAATCTTCTTTTAAAGAACCCAAAGAGCTAGAGCTAAGATATTTAGCATGAAACATGTTCTAATGGGTGTCTACCAAGTTTGTTCAAATAAAAGCCCTTGGGTCAAAATTGGCCCCGCCCCGGGGGGGTCATTGATTTTCCCTATATGCATAAAGTAAAAACTTTAAAAATCTTCTTTTAAAGAACTCAAAGAGCTATGGCTAAGATATTGAGCATCAAACATGTTCTAATAGGTGTCTACCAAGTTTGTTCAAATAAAAGCCCTGGGGTCAAAATTGGCCCCGCCCAAGGGGTCATTGATTTTCCCTATGTGCATATAGTAAAAACTTAAAAAATCTTCTTTTAAAGAACCAAAAGAGTTAGAGCTAAGATATTTAGCATGAAACATGTTCTCTTAAGTGTCTACCAAGTTTGTTCAAATAAAAGCCCTGGGGTCAAAATTGGCCCCGCCCCGGGGGGTCATTGATTTTCCCTATGTGCATATAGTAAAAACTTAAAAAATCTTCTTTTAAAGAACTCAAAGAGCTATGGCTAAGATATTGAGCATCAAACATGTTCTAATATGTGTCTACCAAGTTTGTTCAAATAAAAGCCCTGGGGTTAAAATTGGCACCGCCCCGGGGGTCATTGATTTTCCTTATATGTGTATAGCAAAAACTTAAAAAATCTTCTTTGAAAAAACCCAGATAGCTAGAGTTAAAATATTAAGCATGAAACATCTTTTAGTGAGTGTCTACAAAGTTTGTTCAAATAAAAGACCAGGGGTCAAAATTGGCCCCGCCCCGGGGGTCATTGATTTTCTTTATATGTGTATAGCAAAAACTTAAAATCTTCTTTGGAAAAACCCAAATAGCTAGAGTTTAGATATTAAGCATGAAACATCTTCTAGTAAGTGTCTACAAAGTTTGTTTAAATAAAAGCCCTGGGGTCAAAACTGGCCCGGCCCCAGGGGTGTCATTGTCTTTAACTATATGTGTATAGTAAAAACTTTAAAAAAATCTTCTTTTAAAAAGCCCAATGAGCTAGAGCTTAGATGTTTAGCATGAAACATCTTCTTATGGGTGTCTACCAAGTTTGTGCAAATAAAAGCCCTTGGGTTAAATTGGCCCTGCAACGTTTGGGGGGTGGGGGTTTGGGGGCCTATATACAGGTGAGCGACCTCAGGGCCATCATGGCCCTCTTGTTTATTTTTCAAAATTAATTTTTGTCCAGAGCATAACTCCAAAAGCCTATGAGATATCAACATGAAACTTCATAGGTGCATAGATCTCACTCAGGAGGTGTGCAGTGCACAAGAATGATAACTCTACCTTTTATAATTTTTGAGTTATTGCCCTTTGTTATTTTTCATACTTAATTTTTCAATTCAACTTTTTTCTCAAAAAGTATTTGAGGTATCAACTTGAAACTTCATAGGTGGATAGATTTTACTGAGGAGGGATGCAGCACACAAGAATGATAACCTACCCTTCATTATTTTTCAGTTATTGCCCTTTGTTATTTTCAGCCATCAGTATTCACATAGGTTTCAAATCTGTAATCACTATAGCTATCAGTTTTCATTACCAAAAGACCTCTTAAAATGGAATTATTCTGCTCTACTACATATACATTCTTCAAATGAGCAAACACATTCGGCGGGGGATGGCCATGTTGACATGGCTCTTGTTTCAATATGGATTGTATTCTTACTTGGACACATTACAACCCTTTGGGCAAGAATTCCAATCTTCACTATCAATTTCAATTTTACTTGATTTTTGCTATAATTGGCTATGAATTTGTTATTTGTGAATGGATTGTCTCTATACTTAAACACTTCCCTTAAAGAATTAGACAATACAACACTTATTGTAAAACTGACATGTTGTATTTTTAAAGTTTGACCTTGACATCAACCTGATCTTGACATCATGCGCAAGTTTTTATATTTGCTTAAGTTGTCATAACTTTGTAATTAATAAGAATGGACAGATTTTATTCATACTGGGACAAAACAATACTTCTGACAACACTGACTTGTTGACTAATTAGTATAACATTGATCTATAAATGATCTTGACTGTCAAGGTCAAATATGAAATATTAATAATATGTATATTTTGTACAAGAAAATGATGTTTTCTTGGAGAATTCTTGACTAAAATATCCTTCTTTTATGTTTTTCATTAAGAAATAAAAAGAAGTCGAGTATTGTCCCACTTGGCGGTGGCTCTTGTTAGAAATTGCTCAGAAGGGTAAAAGAATGGAAAAAAACACTATCTGAGGCAGATAACTCAAAAGGCAGGATTTTTTCACAACGTTCATGGGTGCCTTAACTAGTAATCACACCAGTGTGCTTTCAGGAGTTCAAGCCAAATACATCCAAATTTATGGAAACGGTGCTCTACTCCTTCCATAAACCGGTAATGCAGCCTGGACCACATTTTAATGTAGTACTGGAAAGTAGCTGAAATTGCATGAGAATTTCATTAAAACATTGTATCATAGTTGTGGACCTTTGTCAGAGTTTAAATCGTATAGTACATATACATGCACAGTGCGTGCACTCCTGAGCAATCCCATTGATTGGTTCATTTTTGTCCGGGGTTTACATATTGTGACGACAGAGAAAGTGATAGCGATAGAAATATCATATTCAGATTCTGGTTCATTGGTTACTTTGTTCTGGGGTTTCATATTGTGGAATCAGGGTACGTGTTTCTTATGGTTGACTGATACAAAAGAGAAAGAACTTCGAAACACTCGGCAATCTGATTAATACTCGGGCTCCCTGTACAAACCAGATAGCCTCGATGCTCTTTCTATTACTTATTACACAATATTCATAATTGTAATAACAGAACATCCCTAAGTAACACACTGTGTATTTTGTTCTGTATAAATGATCAAGTGAAAATTAAAACCGAATAGCATCAAGTACTAGCGTTGGAAATCTCAATTCATAAAAGTAAACTAAATCGATGACAACATGGCAATTAAAATGTAAGAATTCCACAATATAACTTAAAGATGACTACAATTATAGATCAGGCTATGTTATATGTGCATTGTAAGAGGATGTGTACAAGTGCGTAATAACTCCGCATTGTTTTATATTTTGACTCTGTTTATTCCACGAGATGTCCAGAATAAACATTAGCAGTGTTTACAAAGAAATCTCCACTTATTAAAGTTTGAACTTGTTTATCATTCTTCCCTTCCTTTCGTTTAACATGTAGATGACGACTAAGTTGTCGTCTGCAAAAGTTTTGACTTCCCGCCTCTTTTTCAAATGTCGTCTGCTGATGTGACGTTGATTGCTGTGTTGATCTTTTGTCATCTTTCTGACTCGGGATCTCATCTTTATTATTTGTATGACAAGTTATTTCCGACATTTTGGTAAAACTTGGCTTTCACATTTCATAAAAAGACTGTACTCTCGCTATTCAATATTTCTGCTCTAACGTTTTCCTGAAAATATAAGGTAAGACTGGTATAAGGGTAACGTCGGTTTGTCATAATTTGTGTTCCTGACTTGCGCAAGTAAACATGTATGCACACATACGCAGTCATAGAATGTTACATGCATGTTACACTATGCACTTTCCAGCTTAGATACAGTATCTTTATGATGTATCTAATATACATAAAGAAAAAAAAAGTAACAAAGCACCTTTGATATACGCATATTGACAAAATTAACAGTACCATCGCTGTACTGTACATGCATGTTTTTCTCCTGATTACCGGATTTTCAAACTTGTATATCATAGTATATATTCTTACACATTAACCATAATAACACAGACATACTCAACTCAATACGTATACATTCAAGTTGTCTTACGAAAAATCATACACATGCACTTGTATGTTTATACAACGCACCGGTTGGTATTTCAGTTTTGGCGATCTTCTGCAGTTTTCTTTTAACAACTTTTTTGTCTCGAGATCAATCAATTGTTGAACTGTTCACTACACATGTAATATTTAACAGAAATCAGTACTATCAATGCTTGAATAGGAGTCGAGTATTTATTTTATATTTAATATTTGAGAAATTAACTAGATTCTACATGTATTATCTAAGTTTACTTGATTTTAACTGCATGTACAACTATCTATATAATCATGAAGCTTAAACAAAAGTCCCTGTAATAGACCATTTAACATTACGATACACTGTTGTTCCTAAGTAGCATTTCCCGCATGCGCATTCTGCGTACCTTGCTGTAATTGTTCACTTTAATTTTGGCGTTTTCTTGTTATGTCAGGTTTAGTACAACTAATAAGACTTGTCGAAGTGACATCAAGGTAATGTTTGGGCGGGCAATGTTTTCCTGTTATTTTTTATATTCATTATATATTTATTTGAGTTTTTCAATTTGAAGAACACGAGACAGTAACCGTAACGGTTTGAGAGTAAGAAAAAAGTCTGTAAAATGTGTCAAATCTTACACAACTAATTAATTATGCTAATAGAAGTTTCATTAAATCCAAAATTTGAGAAAATGTGCATAAAAAAAATAGTCAAAGTAACTGAGATTTACGTTATAATATACGAGTATATAACGTCTACTTTTAATATGCAACTGTTCATTAAGATTTTTAAAAATCAGTACAATTTATAACATTTGAAAAAAGTGTCACCTGTAAATGTTTGTCTAAAGAGATTTTTTAAGTAAATGAGCTATTAACAGTAACTTTCATACATATTTGATATGTAACCGACTTCAATTAAGTAATATATAGTTCCCTCGTGTTAATAGTTGAGATATTTTAATGCAATTAAACATTTACTTATAAACTAGCATTTACGGCTTTTCATTTACGGCTTCAGTTTTTGTTTTTCTGTTGTTTTTATGCCAATTTTAAAACAATTTTTTAAATAAAACAATTACCTCGACGGTCGATCTCTCTGTTAAGTCCTCAGAAATAAACAATTCCCCGTATGTTCCCATATGATGATGAGAGACAAATGACCGTTAGACTCGCTGTCCGCGATCAAACTTATAAAATAACATCCACAAAACAAGAAAGAAAGATTATCCATACCTTATGTCTCCCTTTGTTGTTCAATGTCAGTGGTTGTTTGATATATAGCGGCATCTGTTACCACAAGTCCTCGACGTAATTACAAAATCTATTGATTCGTCATTGATTACAACACTAATTCAATTTGCTGATTACAAGCGTCCCCATGTGTGTAGTATTCGTCAACATAAACAATAATATGTGTTTATACTCGAACCCTTTAATACAAGTATATGTAATTCGTTCATTTTTCTTTACATGTCTTTTGAATTCATGAATTTAGTGAATATCATATTCTTTAAATTCCATGAATATAGATTTTAGAAAACTAGTTAAAATGGTCAACTTTTGCCAGCAACAGTTATGAAAATCATAGCAAATGATCATCATCATAGCAAACGACAAGCGACGAGTAACGATGGTAACAGAAGAATTACGCACTCTTAAATATACTTTATATACGTTCATAAATATGTAGTTCTTGAGCAGTCCTTTATTCTTAGGCATTGCATTCTTTGCGAAAAATGACACGAAAGATCAAGACCAATTTAGAATATTTTGTCCCTTATAAAATTGCCATAGACTTCTCCATGAAAATATTCTCTACAATACATTTAAGCCCGTCTCGCACAAAACACGGTTGGGCACACGATTCCCATACGGTATACTCGGTTATATACGGGTTGACTGGTACGAGTTTTGAGCTCCAACCGTGCCTGGGGATTAGTTTCGAATATAGCACGAGTATCTACGAATTGAGCATGGATATACTCGGTCAAACAAGGTTTGAACACGATTTGCATACGAATACATACGACTGTTTTACGGTTCCAAGTACGGTCTAGTACGGTCTGGTACGATTAAACACGACTTTTACTCGATTTACTCGACTTTCACAGGTTTTTCATAGGGTCCCGCCGACTTTTGTCCGAGTTATGCTCGGAATATCACACATTTGTGTATGTTTTGATATAAATTAACTCATTTTGATGACTGCTTCATAAATTTTCGAAATTTCAACGAAGAACACTTATATTTAGTAATAGAGCATTAACATCAATACATGAATAAAGAGGTGAAGCAATGTAAAATGTGTCTTTTTTTTCTTTGGCGCAGCGGTTGCTGGAGGATCCACTGAGCTGGCATTTGAGTCTGAATCCCTGGAAGACATGGATATTGCCGGTTGGTCCTCCAGCTCATCAGGGTCAATAAGTTGGAGTGGTCTGTGGGCCTGGATGGCCCTTCTTGTATTCCTTCTGTGCGTCAAACCTTCTTCTTTGGATACATTCTAAAGTGATGCAGCAAGTACTCTTGGTAGGGTGGCAGCAGGTAGTTGTGTTTTTTGTATCGTTCTTGCTGACGTAGAGGCTGTGCTAGACCGTACGAGGCAGTGTGAGACCGTGTATTCTCGTACTATACCGTGTCGGCCATGTATGTTTCGTATATCAACCGTATTGGTCGTATGGCGGTCGTATGAAACCGTGTGTGCACTTGTTTGAATCGTACCGTGATCTTGTGACATTCGGGTGTTAATCGGGTATTGGATTAAGGACTTGGGGACGGTCTCGAACGATTCCATACGATTCATATACGGCCTTGATACGGTTGGGCTCACTCGTGGAGTAGACTTCACATTCGGCTGTATATACGGTCTCACACGGTCTTTTACGGTCGCTTTTACGGTCATACACGGACATGGCATCCGTACCAGTTTTTTTAAAAGTTTTAAAAATCATACACGGCTTACACTGATACACTCGAATGACCCGAGTGTAATTCTGATAACGCTACGGTTAGTTCGGTTGTATGTACGGTTTACACGGGTGGCCAACCGTATAAGCCGTGTGTCCTGTGTGAGATGGGTTTTAGTTGCAGTTGGACTATGTGTTTTGCTTGTCTGAAAATAGTTTTTTCGCATAATAATAAGAATTTATTGTAAGGAATTTTGGTGTTCTTTAAGAAAATACAGGTTTCAGTAAAAAAAAGAAGACTTTATGTTGGACAAGAGGGCAATGGTGGCACTGGATCGCTCATCCGAGATAGATTGCTAAAAAAGCTCACAGTTTTAGTCTTCAATGCTAAAAACACTTATTATGTCACATTTTGTTTGTAATTTTTTACCCAAGCTGAACAAATTTTTGAACATTTGAAGAAGTCTGCTATGAAAGGCTACGTGATCATTATGTCCAATACTCTTGACATTTAAACTATAACGTCTATGTTAACTAACTGAATTCCGGGATGGGGCTATTTTTGTTCCCAATGGCATTTGTTGAATATCTTTGTAGAGCTCCGATTGGCAATGCTACATGCTAAAAATCAAAGCTCTAAGCACTGTTGTTTCTGAGAAGAAAAACAAAATATCTAAGATCTTGGCATTGAAGTTTAAAAATAATAATAATATTTTCCTACACAAGTCTATATAAATAAAATGACCGACCCCCAAGACGGGGAAAATGTTGACCCTTGGGGTACGATTTATATGACTTTATAGTTAAGGACCACAAGGTAATGCTGCATACAAAATATGTAAGCTTTGGACACTGTACTTTCGGAAAAGAAGATTTTTTTCTGATATTTCACTAAACTAAGTGGTCCTCATGATAGGGCCGTTTATGAATCCACGGTCATGACTTATATAAAGTTTAAAAATGTCTTATTGACAATTCGACAGACAAAATATCTAAGCTCTAAGCATTGTAGATTCCACAAAAGAATACTTAAATGTGTTGTCCTATACAAGTCTTTATAAGCGAAATGACCCAAAGGGCGTGGCAAATTTTGAACCCGTGCAAGAGTCAGGATTTCTATAACTTCAGTTAAGACCACAAGGTGATGCTTCATGTAAAATAGCTAAGCTCTGGACATTATTCTTTCAGGGAAGAAGACCTTTAAGACATTTTACAAGACAAGTCTGTGTAAACTAATTGACCTCAATGGCAGGACCATTTTTGACCATAGGGCATGTTTTTTTTTGTTGAGGTCCACTAGGCAATGTTACATCAAACAATTTTGTAAAAATAATTGACAATCAGGAATTTTTGACATTTAGGGACTTTTGTGTGAGGATCACTAAGAATTTAAGTGGCAAATATCTGAAGCTTTTGGCATTGTAGTTTCATGAGAGAAGACTTAGATTTCTATTTCCTATACAAGTATATGTAAAATAAATGACCCATGGGGCGGGGTCAACTTTGAACCCAGTGGCATGCTTTATATAGCTTTAGTAGAGGACTCAAGATGATCCTATACGCAAAATATCTAAGCTTTGGGCATTGTAGTTTCGGAGGGAAAGACTTTTTTAAGTCTAATTTAAGCTTCTTTGACGTACTCTTATGCGTCAGACTGGAACAATTTATATGATGTTTCTAGGATCAGTTCTGTTTAGTTTGGTCGTAATCATCTTCGTGGTATAGGTGTATGGTGGCTGATTTGGTACACTTTGCGCGTTGCGTTGTCGATAGCGACAACACAACCTATATTGTTTTCGTCTTGTTGCTAGTGAAACGCGCCAAACGGCGCGTTGTCGGACTTTCGTCTTGTCGTCCTGTCGCTAACGATGTACGCCAAACGGCGCGTTGTGTGCGGCGTGTTGTAGCGAAGTCGCCCTGTCGCTTAGCTAAAGTGGTTGATTGGTACGCTTTTGTGCGCCGTGTAAGCGCTAGCGACAACAGGACAAAGCGCCAAACGGCGCGTTGTTGGACTTTCGTCTTGTCGTCCTGTCGCTAACGATGTACGTCAAACGGCGCGTTGTCGTGCGGCGTGTTGTAGCGAAGTCGCCCTGTCGCTTGGCTAAAGTGGCTGTTTGGTACGCTTTTGTGCGTCGTGTAAGCGCTAGCGACAACAGGACAAAGCGCCAAACGGCGCGTTGTCGGACTTTCGTCTTGTCGTCCTGTCGCTAACGATGTACGCCAAACGGCGCGTTGTCGTGCGGCGTGTTGTCGCGATGTCACATTGTCGCTTGGTTCAAATCGAAGTATTGGCTTATAAGCCAAGAAATAAGGAGACATCGCGACAACGCGCCGTTTGTCGTGCATGGCTATAGACAAGACGACAGCACGACAACAAGCCGTTTGGCGCTTTGTCGTGTTGTCGCTAGCGACGAGACGAAAGGCGATAACGATATATGTTGCGCAAAGCGCAATGTACCAAATCAGCCACCATACTTGGCTATGTATACAAATAGCCAATCCGAAGGACAAAGTGACATCGCGACAACATGCCGTAAGACAACGCGCCGTTTGGTGTGCTTCGTTAGCGACATGGCAACATGCAAGACCACAGTGCGACAACGCGTCGTTCGGCGCTTTGTCGTGCGGTCGCTAGCGACAACACGACGCATAAAAGTGTTCCAAAACAGCCACCATAAAGGAGACTTATAAAGAGACATAAAAGATGATTTTTGACAACGACGAACGACGGATACACTGCCATCACAAAATCTCACCTCTGAACTAATGAGGGTGTTGCGGTATAAGACTATTCAAAAAGAGAATTTGTCTAAGATGAATTTATTGTTATAATATGATATTAGTTAATTCGAATCATTTCAAGGTTCAGGTTGCCAATCCGCCTCGCAGATATACCCCATTCCTCCAGGCATGTTTAAAGCCCGCCTCTCAGAATACCATCTGTACGGAACTGGGCGATAACGGACCATTATAGCTACAAAAGGTTGATACACAACGCCTATCGCATTCGGTTGTCGAGGTCCCCAATTTTTATACTGACCCTCTCCGGGGTTCATAAAGATATCAACGATATTGCCAGTTTTATCTGTCTTTTGCCACACCCAATTTTGCCCGTTGAAAAAGCCACCTATCCAGTAGCCATCAAAAACTGTAAATTATAAAGATTATCACATAAAGATAAGAAAGAAACAATATGAAACTGAAATATCATTGTATTTTAAGGTAAGTTGATGCTATATGATAGTATATTGCAGTTAATTGTTGACATAATTTACACCTTTATCTATAGACTTGAACCAACCAGTACCGAACAATGAGTTTAAAGGCTTTGCCTTTGCTTTGATGGGGTTAAACCCACACGGCAAGCTATTCTTAGCTAATTATAAGGCCATGTCCCCATAAGTTTTACTACTTCAAAACTGTTCTTATAATACGTGATAATAATTATTTAATATGTAACTTCAGTTTAAAAAAACTATAGAAATAGGTATCCAGTTTCGAAAAAAAAGAATAAAATTATAATAAATACTAGTAAAAATGGTGCATACTCGTAGGTTGTTGCTTTATTTTGTTAACGATGTAACTATTTTCAGCATCAGCGTCGATATTCATCAAATATCCACCAAGACTGTAGCATGTACGGAACGCATCATTCACGTTGTTCACGCGGTTGTTGGCGACGTAATAACATGCTGAATTATACTCGACGAAAAAACTTGGACACTTTGCATTTACAAGTACTAGAACGCTGCTGATGAAAACTACCAAGCTCAGGCTTGCTGTCATTGTGTTAAAGTCTGCAATTAAATATGAAAAGTTTTTAAAGCAAAATGAAGTCTTTTAATGGACAATTTCAACGTAAAAACACGTACGTACCTTTTTTAAAATTAAGTATTTTTCAACAGTCAAGAAAATGTGCATAGTATAGCGAAAGAAGCAAAAGATTATAATTATAGTACGATTTATTGTAATAATGACTAACTAATATTGAAGTAGTGACGAACTAATATTGTAAAGATGACATACTAATATTTTAATGACAAAACAAGTCAAGTTCTCGCACTGTGAAGGCGGCACTTTTCAATTACTCAAGTTAAAGAATTCATCAAAACTTTAAAAAAATACATGATCCTAGATACAAATTCTACACAACACAAGTTTGATGAATGATCTTATTTGAAATTTATAAATGTTATATCGTTGCTTTGTTACAAAGAAAGTAATGTCATTTAGACAACTTACCTGCGATACTGCCGTAATATTCACTGACTAAACATGGCATATTTCACGGATATATATCATCTGTTCCATAGTTTTTAAACAATCGCCATTAGTTATAATTTTGCCCCAAACTAAGTTATGGCCATACTGAACAGCTGCTTGTCAAATTCTACAAACATTTTTATAAATGACAATTAACTTTCATGTTACAGTGCTCGAAAATATCATGTTTCAATGATTTAATTAATAGTCAAATTAATTAAAACCGCATTTAAAATCGAAATATAGATGGTACGCTCCTGTAAGACTTTTCTTTTGGATTTTGAAAATCTGATTTGTTTTCTTTCTTTGTTTGTTTTGTCAGGTACGTATATATTATTATGTTAATATACGTACCTGGTTTTGTTAAGAAAAATATTTCTGACATTTTACCTAAGCATTAATTGATACATCACTTGCATCCACGAGTATAGTAATTTAATGATATATAAAAGGAACTCATTTGAGGTCAAAAGGCCTAAAAATAATACTCGAATTTTACTAATAACAGAAAGACATGCAAAACAAAATTAAGTTATGCTTGCTACATGTCACAAAAACCTGTTGCCAGAGAGTGTGAATATTGTAAACGGTTTAACTGGAATATTACAAATGACTGTTGTCTCAAGGCTGTTTTCATACAAATGTGCATACATGTATACCACGTGTTACAGTGAAGAAAACTAAACATCTAGGTTTTAATTTATTTCCAAATATTTGAACAACAAATAACCAGCAGGAAGATCTTGTTAACAATGTTGACGTAATTGACAAAGTGGATTTTAGTCACGATATCCAAAATTAAGATTTGATGACATTTTTATTACAGACTACTTTTAGTTTGTAAGTATAGAAAGGGGTAGATAGCTTTAATCAAGACCTGAATAGAAAACACTGAAATGTATAAACTGTGAAATCGAATAGTAATAAATATAAATAATAAAGTGAAAATATTAATGAATCTCCCGACCATACGTCAATTAATCACCTATGCCCGGGCTAGTTCTGAGGACAGCGGGGGATATGAGTCAGTATTTGTATTGCTTTCATATTGCATATACTGTTTATGTGTACAAAATGGCCAAAAACTTACAAATCGTTAATTGCACACAATGAGCTATGTACAAAAAGTACCGGAAAATGGCGTTTAGCTAGGTTTACGGAAGATTTACGGAAAGGACCAGAGTAGATTTTTCTGGGAATACTGGCTCCCAGTCTATTTAGCTTTACGTATGTGTAAGCAGAGCTCAAGCTTATTTTTTTAAAAATGAAAGTAGGCGAGAACGTCACAAATAACGAAGTTTGACCTAAACATGTAAGCACAAAATGCTGTAATCCAGGCGGTTGTCTTCTTCCCTTCTGTAAGAACATTATTTCGTAAATCTAAGTAAATGCTTCTGTAAATACAAAGCATTTTGTAACAAGCTTGTTGATAAGATTACTTTTCAGCTCCTGGAAGCCAAACTCATCACAGTGATTACCTCCTTTATTGCACAGGTTATCGGCGTGGGACCAAGCCCTACCCCCAAGGTACCACCCCCAGGACCCACTATACTACCCAAAACTACATAGTTTATAGTATCAGTATTATATTTTTTGATAGAATTTTTTGATTTTGTATTGACATGTATTTTGAGTGTATTGAAGTATATTTGGGTATAGTCAAAATATTTTAACCTACGGGATTTTTAGATAATTTTTGACATGGTCAAAATCCCAAGGGCGTAGCTCTGATCGCGTTGATATTTCGACTAATTTGGGTAGTATCCGTTGACCCGTATTTTCGGGGGTTTAACGTTTTAAATTTAAGCCACCGTTTTTAGATTAATAGTAAATGGAAGACAAAAAACATCATCATTGAGTAAAAACTATGACAAACAAAAAGGAACCGTTTAAAATACGAAAATAAACTATTTCAGTAAGATATCCTTTATATATATCTTTCTACTTTCACTATCGGTAGTCTGTGTTGCTCGGAAGCTGTCTCATATTTTCGGGATTTTGATTGGATGGCCTCGTTTCGGTAGTGACGTTGCGCGTGGTCAAATTCTATACTGCACTCAATATATTTCGGGACATTGGTTTAAGTTTGGCATAAGTCCCGGTGATGAATTTAGGTGAAGATATGTTTTTTGTTCTTTTTTGTTGCTGTGTAGTTGAAAATAACGTATAAAAATGAGAAAAGAAATAGTTATAATTGAAATGACATTGATAGATTTATATTTATGTGTTTTAATATGTTTAGTACGAATTCTAACGGTAGTAATTAATAAAAATAAGTGTTGGCGAAAACTTGATGCTTTTTGGAGAGCCCAATCAATCGCACGAGCTGTCATTCATGACCGGAAATGACGCCACGAAAATATGAGAACCCCCGAAAATATGAGAACAAGGCATATAGTGGGTCCTGGGGGTGGTACCTTGGGGGTAGGGCTTGGTCCCACGCCGATAACCTGTGCTTTATTGGGGAGATCACTAGCTGCGTAGGAGATTGCTGGACAGCTGGACCACAGACACATGGGATGTGGAGATCAAAATGCCTTTAAAATCCAAACAAAATGTTTATTTGTCAAAAAGTTCTTATTTCAACGCAAAGGTGACAATCCTTATATATCTGTTTTTTTGGTCTGGACCCCAATATAGAGTCCAGGCACCGTTACAACACCCTTTGTTTCAACTTCTATAATAACCACAGGGATAAGACACTTTGATCTGATATTATCCCCTACCTGACACCCCTCCCCCTCCCTCCACAGGCACGAGTATCGGACATGGGGAGAAAATATGACCATGTTTATATAAAAACCTTCTTTGCTCTTCTTAAACGTGTTTAAAAAAACAAAAAAAAGTGAAATATGAGCCCCCTTAGAAATATACTATCTTATAAGTTAAGAGAAGGCTGGAAACACCAGTTTCGAGTCTATGAGCAAGCGATTCATTTCCCAGGACGTTGTGAAAACAATTGTCCAGACAGTTAAAAAAAACACTATTTCACATTTATATTAGGCTTCCAAATGAGACTAACCACAAGTCTAGCATTTCTCGTTCATGAAATATGTATCAGGCAATGAGTGCATTCGTGCTAAAAATCCCTGGTAGACTAAAATGTGGCACAAGGATTCGGTACGTAAACATAATGATAGACTAATACATGTTTGTACAGGTCAAAATCACTTGAATGTACGAAATAATGTTACTAAATGTCACATGGTCATGGACAATGTCAATATTTTCAATATTTAGTAACATGATAGACATTGACTTTTTGTGTACTTTTAGCTCAAAAATTCTGTAAAATGTTTATCTTGATGAAGGTTTGTAAGAACCGAAACCGGAAGATTATTAAATTTATCAGTAATCAACCAGCACTGGTGTTGACGTGTTGTATTTCTTCAGTTTTATCTTATTTTGATGAAATATGCTTGTGTGTCAGGCAGGTACTATTTACAATGTGTTAGACAGATACTATTTACAATGAAATAAGGTCACTTCTGTGTACAGAATGTGTGAAATCATACACATTGTCATAATTATATCAGCTCTTTTGTTTGTTTGCACTTGTTGATCAGTGCGGTATCAAACTGTTAAAATGAATTATAACCTGAAAATCAAAACTGTGACACACAAACACTGATGAATTAAGTAAACACGAGTCCAAAATTATTTTAAAAATCATGCAAAGAAAAATGTTCGGGGAATGATGACAGAACTATTTGTATGACGATTGATATAGAAATCCCTGATAGTAGGCAAGTTTAAATACTATGAAATGCTACCTGTCAACAAGCTAACCCTGTAATGAGTTTTATATATCAGAACCTCTTGTGTTGAGACCTTGAACCACAACTTGGTTGGGCACAAGTTTGGATCAAGATCACAGTTCATAATTACACTTTGTGCACTTTGTATCTTTGAACTGATGTATACAGTTTTATTGATACAGGTGTGCAATGAGATGCATTATGTTCTCTTTCTTAGATTGAATTGAGAATTTTTCTGAGGTGTATAATTATGCAGAGTTCAACTGATGAGCATATTTGGTATTTTTTATAACTTGGTGACTTGCAATGAGTCAGTTTTATAGAGTCGTGTACTCAGATTTTGTTGTAGATATATCTAAAATAGATTAAAGAATTTATTTGATATTTCAGAATAGATTTCAACTACTCTGAAGATGGCTTCTAAACAATATACAAAGAGGGGAAATTCACGAGATGGTAACTTTACAGGTCATGGTGATAATGGTATAGTATACATATGGGCCGCGTCACGACAAAACCAACATAGTGCATTTGCGACAAGCATGGATCCAGACCAGCCTGCACGTTTGCGCAGTCTAATCAGGATCCATACTGTTCACTATCGGTTTCTCTACTTGTTATAGGATTTGTAAGCGAACAGCATGGATCCTGATCAGACTGTGCAGATGCGCAGGCAGGTCTGGGTCCATGCTGGTCACAAAAGCACTATGCTGGTTTTGTCGTGACGCGGCTCATATTTTGTTAAGACTTATTACATATCCTCAGCTTGAGCTTGTCAAGTAACCTGACAAGCAGAACTCAACTATCAGTTTAAAGCAGTACGCCTCCAGTTTCATGTTGATTTTCATTAGTTTGTTTAAATGTATTTAAAAGTAAAGTAATGTGAAGCAAACAAAGAAATTAATTTACACATTGCAAGCAGCACTTACAATCCAATTTTATTACCAAAAAAAAAAAAAAAAGGTTAAAATAAGCAGAAAAATGCCCTAACTGCATTAGTAATTCAGAAGAAATATGGTGAAAAATGCTGCAATATTAGTACTTTAATCAATCATAACATGTTAATTATTACTTGACTCTTAGATAGTTTTATTAGTCCCCTACAGGTTTAAACAGAGAGGACTTTAGGTTTACCCTCCGTCCATGTCTGTCCTTCCTTCCCACATTTTTGCCCGTAGCATATCTCAAAAAAAATATTTGAGGTATCAACTTGAAACTTCATGGGTGGATAGATCATATTGAGGAGGAGTGCAGTGCACAAGAATGATAACTCTACCCTGCATAATTTTTCAGTTATTGCCCTTTGTTATTAATTAATAGAGTAATTTTTAACAATTTTTCAATGGAAATTATTGGTTTCAGCAGAATAGCTTTCAAGGGCTTTCACTGATTGTGTGTTATATTGTCATGCAAATATGTTATATCCAGACACAAGTTATGTTGCATTTTCATTGCAATCTGAGCTTGTTATTTTTAAGAGTAACACCCCATTTTCAGCTTTTTTTCTGTGAAATTATTGAATTAATGTGTTTATATTTAGCATGCAGTATCAAATTATCTAATATCAAAGGTCAAAGATTTTAGCTGCAATCATCTTATTTCAACCATGATGTGATTAATCTCTTTCAATCAGAATGAAATAGAGTTATGTTCTATTACTAATAAATCTAAGTTGTTACTTTGAAAGAATTTAGATGGTATATTTTATTTTACATTCGATGGAAAAGTCAATATTTGAGGCATTTATAATAATAGATTTGCTTCAAGGCATTTTTACCCATGAAACCTTCTTGTAAATTTGCCATTAGGAATACATTTTCTGCCTCTGCTGAGTTCTTGTTCCTTATTTTCATATGTTAATTTTGTAGAAAAGACAATAACATTTCTGGTCAGTGTACATTTGATTAGATTCTTTAATTAATTATGCCCCCCTTTAAAGAAGTGGAAGTATATTGCTTTGCATTTGTCTGTCAGTCAGTCTGTCCATAGACCAAATGGTTTCCAATCAATAGCTAAACAACACTTCGGCCTACGAACCTCAAACTTGGTGTGACAACCCATGGGCTGTTAGCCCTCAAACTTGATAGGTGCATTGGTCTTGGCAAGTTGATGATCCCTGTTGATTTTGGGGTCAAGGGGTCAAAGGTCAAGGTCACATTGACCTTGTAAGTAAAAACGGTTTCCAATCAATAACTTGACTACCCATGGGCTGTTGGCCCTCAAACTTTGTACGTGCATTGGTCTTGGATAGTAAATGACCCCTAATAATTTTTGGGTCGTAGGTCAATGTCATATTGACTTTGTAGGTAAAAACAGTTTCCAATCAATATCTTGACAACCCATGGGCCCTTGGCCCTCAGATTTCGTAGATGCAATGCTCTTGCAAAGTAAATGACCCCTTTTGATTTTAGGTCAAGGGGTCAAAGGTCAAGGTCATATTGACCTTGTAGGTAAAAAAGTATTAATCAGGGTGTTATGAAAGCATGGGAAATGTCCTTCTTGAGATATCTATTTCATTGAATTTACAATGCATGAGATATTTACTGTGCTATAGCTTAATTAGTCCCCTACCGGTTTACCTGAGGGGACTTTAGGTTTACCCTCCGTCCATCTGTCTGTCTGTCCGTCCGTCTGTTCGTCAGTCCGTCCGTCCACAAAACTGGATCCCGCGATAACGCAAAAAGTACTGAAAATATTTTAATGAAACTTGATATATGGATAGATGGCAGTATGGAGATTATGCACGTCTTTTTCTTTTCTTCCTATGTTGAAAATTCTGGTTGCTATAGCAACAAATAGACTTAAAATATGGCAAATTTTACACATAACCTGGATCCCGCGATAACGCAAAAAGTACTGAAAATATTTTTATGAAACTTGATATATTGATAGATGGCAGTATGGAGATTATGCATGTCTTTTTCTTTTCTTCCTATGTTGAAAATTCTGGTTGCTATGGCAACAAATAGACTGAAAATATGGCAAATTTTACACATAACCTGGATCCAGTGATAACACAAAAAGTACTGAAAATATGTTTATGAAACTTGACATATGGGTAGATGGCAGTATGGAAATTATGCACATCCTTTTTTTATCTTCCTATGTTGAAAATTCTGGTTGCTATGGCAACAAATAGACTGAATTTCAAGATTTCTGATTCTAGTTTTTAAGTTTTTTCACTATAAGTTCTTTATTTCTTAAGGTATTTTCTTCAAACTTTAAATATAAGTAGCTTGTCATCAACCACATCATATGTGACAAGGTTTACAACTCTAGCACAAAATTTATCAGAATTACCTCCCTTGAACTTAAAATTTTCATGTAAAAAAAACATTGTTTTTTTTAATAACTTCTTTTTCTGAATGTATCTACTTCAAACTTCCTATAAATGTTTCTTATTGTCACTCAACATTTGTGAGTGTTCAATACTCTAGCAAGACTATTTCCAGAATTATGCCCCTTTTGAACTTAGACTTTTTTTTGAGAAATTGGTAATTTTTACTCCAACTTCTTCAATCATGATAGGAGTTTAAAAATGTTATATTTTGATAACAGGGATGTTTAAAAAATAACTTTAGAGTGTCCTTCAGTCCGTCCGTCTGTCTGTACATAAAAACTGATTCCTGTGATCACTTTTAAAGAACTTTTTCAACAAATTTACTTAAAATAGGAACCTAAGTGAATGGCCAATGGCCCTTCAGAATGTTGCTTGGGCTCTTACCGGTAGGGGACTTATGGATTGCTTGCAATACTATGATAATTGCTTGTTTATATTAAGAATGATTCATATCTTATCTAAAATTATGAATGAATAAAAAAACATTTAATACAGGTTAATTTTCAATATTGCTATGTATTATATGGGCTACAATGATTAATACTTTTGACTGTCAAGTCACGTGAATTACCTCCTGTTTATAAGACAAATGATCAGGAGCTGGATAAATTGAACAATAGACACACAAAAATTATGATTTTTTTCCAAAAGTAAGAGTACAAAAAATTACATAGATTTACAATTAATAAAACAAAAAAATTGAGATAGTAAAATGGTCTGTCTTAAATGTTGAGCATATTAAAGTAGGATTGTATTCGACAGAATGAATTTAAAGAGAAATATTGGAACAAGTTTTGTAAAAACGAATATATGAATATATTTGAACATGGAAAACTAATATTCAAACATCAAATTCCTTAGTCATGACCAGTAGATAGTCCCTATTGATTTTTTGGTCACTAGGTCAACAGTCACAATAACCTGACCACATGACTAATTGGCTGCTGATAGGGGGCATACATGTTTTACTGACATATCTTGTTAAGTAATTACCTTATTTACATTACTTTTAGATAACAACCCTGGAAATAGAGGCCAAGACAGAGGGCAACAACAAGGTCAAAGAAGAAATAGTAGCTCTCAAGGTGAAGGGCAACAAGGGAGAGAAAGAAGAAATCAAAGGAACCCAGTAAACAACAGGAATCAAAATCAAGAAAACCAGAGTGACAGGGGTCAGAACCAAGCACAAAGGAATAACAGAGGTCAGCATCATGAAAACCAAACCAATAGGGGTCAATACCATGGAAACCAAGGCAATAGAGGTCATTTCCATGGAAACCAAAGCGATAGAGGTCATAACCATGGAAACCAAAGCAATAGAGGTCATTCCCGTGGAAACCAAAGCAATAGAGGTCATAACTATGGAAACCAAATAAATAATGGACAGTTTCAAGGACAGCAAGATTTTAGGGGGCAGAATCTTCCACCATCAGATAACAGGGGACAGACTGTAGGATGTGGTTGTGGACCAAATAACCAGAGGGGGTTTTACCCAGGTCCAAGTGGACAAGAAATGGGTCATTTTCCGAGGCCAAGGTTTCCTGGCCAAAGTCCTGGTCTTCTACCAGATCCTGGACCTAATGCCTATAATGATCCTCGTCATATGCAGTACCCTCATGTACAGTACCCTGATATGATGCGGTCAGGTAAACAACTTGTTGTAATAAATACAGAATATTATGTTGTAGTAGCTTTCTGAGGCTTTGTATTTTTCTAAGAGCAGCGGTGGAAAATTGATATCTCGCGAGACCGTTGGTCGAGCCAAATATCAATTTTTCAACATTGCGAGTAAAAAAATACATAGTATCAGAAAGCTACTATAACATAATTTTCCTTTTATTATATACCTTTTCGTTTTATTCAGAAAATGAAATGTAGTTGTCAAGAAATAAATTCATGACTGACAGATGAATATGTAATTCTTGCAAACCGGCCACGCTTTTAATAATTTTGGTTTCTGTTTCCAAATGCAATGTTATACAAAGCTAAGATCGGAACCAACGTGAAAAATAGTCTGGCACTGCCATTTTATGGTACCGTATTTGTCACTTACATAATACGGAAATTTCTATCCGTTGAAGAGTACAGTCCGACCCCAGTTATTCGACAACCCATTATTCGAATACCCGGCATTATCCGAAGTAGATCGGCTGTCCCGTTTTTATCTCTATATAAATCAATATAAATACGAGCGTATTATTCAAAATGCATTATCCGAATACCTCCTATTTTTCTAAGTAAAATTTTGGTCCTGATTATACAATTATGAAAGAATTTCACACCTATTATTCGAAGCAAGCCTAATTATTATTCGAAGCCAGACTTATTGGCGCAGATCCACTCGCTGACCGGTCCACTTGTGAAAAATATCAACAGTCAGGCTCTTTGTATGTTCTTTAATCAGCTTTAATTACAGAAAATGAAAAGCAATGCACCGTGATCGATTTTGTAACTGTTATTGCATGAAGATGACAGCAATAATTTTCATACATACCGTATATGTAAATTTGTCAAAACATTTAAAACATTTTTTTCATTAATTGTAACGCTACATGAGAGTCTGTATCCCAATCGAAAATACCAGAGTTTAGCTGTCAATACCGTAGTGACAACACGGCCATTATCAAGGCTTTGAGCGAAAAGAAACGATACATAATGTAGAATAAGATGCAAGTATTTATGTCTTTAATGTCAATACAACAATTTTTATGCATCTTTTCTTTAATATATTTTTCTCAATTAATTACGGGAAGTTAGTGTGTTGTAAAAGGTAGTTTTGCTATGATTAGTCTAAGTGGAGTAGTTTTCATTTATCACAATATTTCGATTTCGATTATTCGAACCCATCGATTATGCGAAGTAAATATTCAGTCCCAGGCACTTCGAATAAACAGGGTTGGACTGTATTTGCGCTTCAATATTTGCGTGTATTTTAGGGAGAAAATTTATAGGTATATAATAAGAACTTATACATATCTACCTTGTAAAATATTGTTGAACTACATGTACGATCTTATTAATGTATATAATGTTGTGAAGGAAACTACCAAGTGTAGAGTGCAGGATTTAGTTAATCATTGAAAGGACTTTACAAAATGTTTAAGATATACCACATAGTTATAATTTGATATACCACATGCGTATGATTTTAATTAATTAATTAATTTTATTAAAATGGTTTTAAAATATTTAAAAATTTAATTAGTCCTGTTTCACATCATGCATCATAAGAGCTTGAATCAAGGAAATCTATTGAAGACTTCTAAAGGAAAGCAAATTGATTTAAAAATATATTTGAATTATCTACAAGTGTTAAACCTTTATTTTGCCTTATTTCACACATGAGCATCCATTATTGGAATTGTCCATTATTAATTTAGGGTAAATCAAGAAGCGAATTTGACTGGTCAGGCAACAGTATAGAGTTTAGTCAAACTTAATGTAAGGTGTGCATTGGGTTGAGTCTGTACTTTTTGAACAAACTTTTAGTTTTTAGCTCACCTAAGGAGAGCTTTTGTGATGTCTGTCTGTAAACTTTTACTTTAAACAACATCTCCTCATAAACCACAAAGCTAATTTCATACAAACTTCACAGGAATGTTCCTATGGTAGTCACCTTTAAAAATTGTTCAAAGAATTTAATTCCATGCAAAACTCTGGTTGCAACAGAAAGAAAAAACTTAAAAGTCTTCTATTAAAAAATCCAAATATCTAGAGCTCAGATATTAAGCATCAAGCATCTTCTTGAGGAGGTCTTCCAAGTGTGTCCAAATAAAAGCCCTGGGGTCAAAATTGGCCCTGTCCTGGGTGGTCATTGATTTTCCTTTTATTTGTTAAGTAAAAAAATAAAAAATCTTCTTTTAAAAAACCCCAAGAGCTAGAGCTTTGATATTTAGCATGAACTATCTTTTAGTGAGTGTTTACAATGTTTGTTCAAATAAAAGCCCTGGGGTCAAAATTGGCCCAAGGGGTTCATTGATTTTCCTTATATGTAAATATCTTTTGGAACTGTTGTTTTCCCTTAAGCAATAGCAACCAGTAATGTTTTTACACATGCACTATTTCAGATACAAATATCAGTTTAAGGTTTAGATTTTATATCTGCGTTTATAGTTTACAATATTATATGTTCCTTGTCATGGACAGTTTTTATATTCAGGTGAGCCATTTCAGGGCCATCAGTTTCAGTTCTTGCATTAAATAGGTCAATAATGTTCTTTCAGTTACAATTATTTAAATACTTATGGAAATTTTCATTGTATGAACATTTTCATTATAAAGCAATTATTTGAGATGTTTGATACACCTATTGTTGGAAGTTGGCATGGATATTATGTGCATGAATCTTGGTCAAATTGGTTTAAATATTCGACTTTATGTAGAATTTGTTGCTATGGCAACTTTTAGGAAATACAAATCCTTTTACCTGTGGTTGACATTATAATGAGCTAACTTTAAGATGTCAAGCATGTAGATAAACCTAAACTCTATTATAATTGTGCTAATTATAAATCTTAGGACAAATATGACCTTACCAATTGGACACATGCTTATTGCTAAAATAAAGTAATTGGTAAGGAAAAGTAGATTACATTTGCTTGATTGCTTTGTAACGGAAATAAAACTTTTCTAAATACATCAATTTTTTTACTGCATGTAACCGAAATAAAACTTTTCTAAATACATCATTTTTTTTTACTGCACACATTACAATATCTATTCTACATGTATCCTTATGATCCATATATTGTACAGGTGGACAATTTTAGCATCTGTTAATAAGTAACTTTTTTCCAGGTCCATATAATGCAAGCAGTTATAGACCACCAATGCATGGTTATGTCCCTGGTATGCCACCTCACACAAATACACAACCACCACCTTTGATGGATTATCCCTGTTACCCAAATGAACAGTTCAGGAATACTGGGCAAAGAAATCAAGGTCAACCAGGTTTTGATGGGAGAAATGGACCAGGGATGATGGGAAATATGGAAAGGAGTCAAAGCTCAATGAGTATTGATAGTGTTGGATCTGAACATGATGGGAGAAAAAGAAACTTTCGAGGAAGAGGTGGAAGGCCTTTTGAAAGAGGACGTGGAAATGGACGTATGAATAGAGCTTCAAGTACACAAAGTATAAACAGTGTTGGTTCAGAGAGACATGATGATAGAAATAACAAAGGAAGAGGTGGTATGCGTGATCGACCAGATAATAGATCTAGACAAAACAACACCAGTGATAATGGAGCAAGACCAAAACAGTATGAAAATATTAATACTAATAGGTCAGAGACAGTGGATAATTCAAACCAACATAGAAGACGGGGTCCCAGAAATGAAAGGGGTAGGGGGAGAGGTAGAGGAACAAATTTTAGAGGGAACCAAAGGCCTTTAGATAATAGAGACACCATGTCCAATCATTCTGAACAAATAAGTGTTTGGAATGTTTCTGATGAAAGTGATGATTCTGACAAGAATCAAGAAAGGCAACCAAGGTCAGTTAGAGGCAGAGGAAGGGGTAATGGTAGAAGATTTTGTGGGAGAGATAACCGAAGCAGGTTTAGAGGAAGGGGAAACAGAGGTGTACAAAACTTCAGGGGAAGAGGAAGAAGTCCGATACACACAGGAGATAATGGTCAAGAAAAGGAAATTGAAAGGTTAAACTTAACTGAAGACAAAACAAAGTTGGATTTGTTAAACAGATTTCTTAGAAGTAATAGAGGAGTAGTTAGTGGTTCTAGAAGAGGGAGGGGAAGATTTTTCAGAGGAAGGTGGATAGGACATGTTGGAAACAGGAGGAAGAAGGATGATGATGTGTCTTCAGTTTGGAGCAATGTTGAGAGTGACGATCATCTAAGCATTTCTTCAGAGGTTTCATCAGCTGTACCTGATAGTGTGTCAGAAGGGGGTCAGGATCAACAGAAGTATGAAATTTGTCTTGATGATGTCTATACAGTGCAACTTCACACTCTTAGAAACAGGGTTATGAGGTACAAGAGGAAACTTGCTGATATGAGGAAAAAGAATGAAGATAAAGAAGAAATTAACAAGTACCAAGATAAAATCAATGAAATCAAAGCAGTCATTCAGAAGAGAGAAGACTCTGAAAAGAAAACAATGGAAAAAAAGGCTTCCAACACATGTAAAAAGAAAGGCAAGAAAAAAACTAATGATGAAAATACTGGTATTCCTGATGAAAGGAGGGAAACATCATCTGCTGAATCAGAAACAGAAATGAAAGTAAGAGATGTGCAGACAAAATTGAAGAAAATGCACAGTTTTAACACTGCTAAAGGACACATATCTTTCAGACCAAAAACAAAAAAGGTAGCAAAGAAAAAGACAGTTGATAAGACACTTGAACCAGAAACATTTGATGCAGACAGTGCTGATAGCAGTGTTACTGTTGAATATGAAAATGTTTTGGAAGAAGAAAATGAGCCAGTTAAAGTAGAGAAAAAGAAGCGTCCAAGGAATAGAAATAGGAAAAAGAAAAACTTGGGAGGCAATGGGGATGATACAAAATGTACAGAAAAGGAGCAAAAATTGAATGATCTCCTTGTTGAACTGGAAAGTATATCACTTGAAGAAAATAAATCAGGAAAACAAGAAAACTGCAATGACAGTGGTCTATCTTCAAAGTCCAGGGGCAGCTCAGTGAATGATTGTGGGAGCTTTATTTCTGATTATAGCACCATGAACGATTCACATGTAGGAAATGAAACTCCCCAGAAGGAAAGAAATGAAGCTTTACCAGGAAAGATACCAGAAAAAAGAGTGAGAGGTGGAAGTGAGTCAAATGCTAATGGTCCAGATGTAAATGAAGTTTTTAAATTCATGGTGAAGATTTTAAGTGGTAAAGGCACACCAGAAGAGATCAATAGAGAATCAGGACTTTTTCCTTTAGACTTTGATGAAAAAAGCTGGTTTCGTAAACTAAAAAGAAGATTCACTATCATTGATAGAGATGGCGTTATAGAAATGGTTTTAGTTTCCAATAGGGATGCCACATATTGCCTTGACTACATCACAAACCGGTCATGCAGTAAGGCAGATTGTAAGAGGTATCATGTTTGTAAAAATCTATTGGCAGGAAACTGTGTATATGGAGACAGATGTAAGTTTTCTCATGACTTATTAGATGAGTGGAATATGATTGTTTCTAAACGTCTAGGTTACAGTAATGTCTTCACAAGTCAGGAAATATGCTACATTCTTCAAGTTAGATATCCACATATTTGCCACAATTGGATTGACAATGGCTTTTGTGAGGAGCCGTCGTGTATTGGTCTACATTTATGTCCTCGCTATTTGATTGGTCAATGTCTAGAAGGTGAGGCATGTCAACTTGTACATGACAAATGCTCCACCCACAATAAACCAATTGTGGATGCCTATGGTATGGGCAATTGGGTTGAGAGTATCTTCAAAAGAATGGTTTATATGAAAAGGGAACCTGGAACTGAAACAAAAGAAGAAGAAACTGAGATAGTCAATGAAAGGTCACGTCATGTGTCAGAGACAGAAGATAATAAATCATCAGTAAGAAAAAGGCATAATTCCCAGAATGCACCAGAGTTGGGTTAGTATTTAAGCCGCGTCATGACAAAACCAACATAGTGCGTTTGTGACCAGCATGGATCCAGACCAGCCTGCGCATCCATGCAGTCTGATCAGGATCCATGCTGTTCGCTATTAGAGTCTCTACTTGTAATAGGGTTGGTAAGCGAACAGCATGGATCCTGATCAAACTGCGCGGATGCGCAGGCTGGTGTGGATCCATGCTGGTCGCAAAAGCACTATGTTGGTTTTGTCATGACGCGGCTCATTTTATGTTGGCTATGTATCACGAATTTGAACAGTTTTCACTTTATTGGAAGATCATATTTACTGCTTTTGCTAAGATGGTTTATCCAGTTGAAAATACAAAAGTTACAAATGTGACAGTCAATCAGAATATGAACTTCTGAAGATTTGTATAGATAACAGTTCTTATATAAGATTTTGTAGATAAAAGTTCTTATAGAAGCATTAAATTTTCATATTTTTCAAGTAACTTCTTATTTTGTCTATGAAATAGTTGCTTAGTTTTGATTTAATATTTATCTTGATAAGTGGAAACTTTAAGATGATAAGTTGCATTCATAATATATACATGTCATTCAATATATGCAAGTTGACAAATTATCATTAATATGAAAAAACAGTTGTTGTTTCATGCAACATACAACAATGTCTAAATGTTGAAATATATAAAGTAATAATGCAAATTTTTATGCATTTTAGGTATACTAATGAACAAATTGTTTTATTTTTACAGAAAATTCTGCAGGTGATAGGGCAATATGTGACAAGTATATAATTGGTAAATGCCGGCGTCAGCGCTGTAGATTTCTCCATACACAGACATTGTCTCCATATATATGGCAAGTTCAACTCTGTGGTAATTGGATAAACCTGGATAATATAGAGCAAATAGAGAAGGCATACTGTGAACATGAAGATTTCTCGCAAGAAATTCGTCTGGTAGGTAAAATTATGGATTACAATAATGGTAACTTTTTTGTTGTGTATTGTTTTATCTCATGCATGCGATTTTTAGCTCGACTATTCACAGAATAATCGAGCTAATGCAGTCACCCATTTGTCGGCGTCGGCGTCCCTGTGGTTAAGTTTTTGCATGTAAGCTGGTATCTCCATAACTACTGAAGGGAATGGATTGAAACTTCACACACTTGTTCTCTGTGATTATCTAAGATGATTGGCACAAGTCCCATAACTCTGATTTGCTTTTTTACATAAAAATGCCCCTTTTTCGACTTAGAAATTCTTGGTTAAGTTTTTGCGTGTAAGCTGGTATCTCCATAACTACTGAAGGGAATGGATTGAAACTTCACACATTTGTTCTCTGTGATTATCTAAGATGATTGGCACAAGTCCCATAACTCTGATTTGCTTTTTTGCATAATTATGCCCCTTTTTCGACTTTTTGCTTGTAAGCTGGCATCTCCATAACTACTGAAGGGTTTGTACCTTTTCGGACAATTTTATGTATTCATATAGGTAAGCATTATTATACTCAATGAAACACCCTTGTGACAACTTTTCGTAAATAGTCGAGCGTTACTGTCCTCCGACAGTTCTTGTTTTGGATTTCATTCTTCAACAGCCACTGCTTAGTGTTGAATTCCACTCAATTTGATAATTTTTATGAACATGATTGTATTGTGTAAAGAAGATTATTTTCAAGCCTTAATGTAGTATGTCACAATGTGTAGATGTTTACTGTAGTATTTGATTTAAAAAAAGTGCATAACCAAAAGGTAAGCATTGCTTTAGTGTCAACAATGTATAATGTTATACTCCCTTTAAAGATTAAAATAATTGTTTCGAATTTTATAGTGAAGAATAGATTTATTTATGTAGTTTGTACAAATCCAGAACTTGTAGAAAATTATCTATTGTGTATAAAGTCTAAACGTTGTTGCAAACTGCTGCTGTCTTATAATGGCCATTATATGAGCCGCGTCACGACAAAACCAACATAATGGGTTTGCGACCAGCATGGATTTAGACCAGTCTGCGCATCCGCACAGTCTGATCAGGATCCATGCTGTTCGCTATAACCCTATAACAAGTAGAGAAACTGATAGCGAACAGCATGGATCCTGATCAGACTGCCCGGATGCGCAGACTGGTCTGGATCCATGCTGGTCGCAAACCCAATTTGTAGGTTTTGTCAAGACGCGGCTCATATGTAAATCACCTATTTACACAGTTCAGAAAGTTGATGAAACAATAGGTACTGTTTAAATTCTAAAGAATATTATTCACTAAGTCTTTTTGATAGAATACATGACATTGTATGTGTAATAAACATTTAGACTTATATAAATGAGTAATGACTTACATGTATATAAAAAAAAATAGGAAAAAATGCCTCTCATAACTTTTTAGCTCACCTGTCACAAAGTGACAGGGTGAGCTTTTTTGATCGCTTTTCGTCTGTCGTCCGTCCGTCGTCCGTCCGTCCGTAAACTTTTACTTTAAATGACATCTCCTCATAAACCACTAAGCCAATTTCATCCAAACTTCACAGGAATGTTCCTTTGGTGGTCACCTTTAAAAATTGTTCAAAGAATTTAATTCCATGCAGAACTCTGGTTGCCATGGCAACCGAAAGAAAAAACTTTAAATATCTTCTTTTAAAAAACCGTAAGAGCTAGAGCTTAGATATTTGGCATGAAACATCTTCTAGTGAGTGTCTACCAAGTTTGTTCAAATAAAAGCCCTGGGGTCAAAATTGGCCCCGCCCCGGGGGGGGTCATTGATTTTCCCTATATACATATAGTAAAAACTTAAAAAATCTTCTTTTAAAGAACCAAAAGAGCTAGAGCTAAGATATTTAGCATGAAACATGTTCTAATGGGTGTCTACCAAGTTTGTTCAAATAAAAGCCCTGGGGTCAAAATTGGCCCCGCCCCGGGGGGTCATTGATTTTCCCTATATGCATATAGTAAAAACTTAAAAAATCTCTTTTAAAGAACTCAAAGAGCTATGGCTAAGATATTTAGCATCAAACATGTTCTAATAGGTGTCTACCAAGTTTGTTCAAATAAAAGCCCTGGGGTCAAAATTGGCCCCCGCCCCGGGGGTCATTGATTTTCCCTATATGCATATAGTAAAAACTTAAAAAATCTTCTTTTAAAGAACCAAAAGAGTTAAAGCTAAGATATTTAGCATGAAACATGTTCTAATAAATGTCTACCAAGTTTGTTCAAATAAAAGCCCTTGGGTCAAAATTGGCCCCGCCCCGGGGGTCATTGATTTTTCCCTATATACATATAGTAAAAACGTAAAAAATCTTCTTTTAAAAAACCATAAGAGCTAGAGCTTAGATATTTGGCATGAAACATCTTCTAGTGAGTGTCTACCAAGTTTGTTCAAATAAAAGCCCTGGGGTCAAAATTGGCCCCGCCCGGGGGGTCATTGATTTTTCCCTATATACATATAGTAAAAACTTAAAAAATCTTCTTTTAAAGAACTCAAAAGAGCTACAGCTAAGATATTTAGCATCAAACATGTTCTAATAAGTGTCTACCAAGTTTGTTCAAATAAAAGCCCTGGGGTCAAAATTGGCCCCGCCCCGGGGGGTCATTGATTTTCCCTATATGCATATAGTAAAAACTTAAAAATCTTCTTTTAAAGAACCAAAAGAGCTAGAGCTAAGATTTTTAGCATGAAACATGTTCTAATAAGTGTCTACCAAGTTTGTTCAAATAAAAGCCCTGGGGTCAAAATTGGCCCCGCCCCGGGGGGTCATTGATTTTCCCTATATGCATATAGTAAAAACTTAAGAAATCTTCTTTTAAAGAACCAAAAGAGCTAGAGCTAAGATATTTAGCATGAAACATCTTCTAATAAGTGTCTACCAAGTTTGTTCAAATAAAAGCCCTGGGGTCAAAATTGGCCCCGCTCGGGGGGTCATTGATTTTCCCTATATGCATATAGTAAAAACTTAAAAAATCTTCTTTTAAAGAACTCAAAGAGCTATGGCTAAGATATTGAGCATCAAACATGTTCTAATAGGTGTCTACCAAGTTTGTTCAAATAAAAGCCCTGGGGTCAAAATTGGCCCCACCCCAGGGGTCATTGATTTTCCCTATATGCATATAGTAAAAACTTAAAAAATCTTCTTTTAAAGAACCAAAAGAGTTAAAGCTAAGATATTTAGCATGAAACATGTTCTAATAAGTGTCTACCAAGTTTGTTCAAATAAAAGCCCTGGGGTCAAAATTGGCCCCGCCCCGGGGGATCATTGATTTTCCCTAAATGCATATAGTAAAAACTTAAAAAATCTTCTTTTAACGAACTCAAAGAGCTATGGCTAAGATATTTAGCATCAAATATGTTCTAATAGGTGTCTACCAAGTTTGTTAAAATAAAAGCCCTGGGGTCAAAATTGGCACCGCCCCAGGGGGGTCATTGATTTTCCTTATATTTGTATAGCAAAAACTTAAAAAATCTTCTTTGAAAAAACCCAAATAGCTAGAGTTAAGATATAAAGCATGAAACATCTTTTAGTGAGTGTCTACAAAGTTTGTTCAAATAAAAGACCTGGGGTCAAAATTGGTCCCGCCCCGGGGGTCATTGATTTTCTTTATATGTGTATAGCAAAAACTTAAAAATCTTCTTTGAAAAAACCCAAATAACTAGAGTTTAGATATTAAGCATGAAACATCTTCTAGTAAGTGTCTACAAAGTTTGTTCAAATAAAAGCCCTGGGGTCAAAACTGGTCCGGCCCCAGGGGTGTCATTGTTTTTAGACTATATGTGTATAGTAAAAACTTAAAAAAAATCTTCTTTCAAAAAGCCCAATGAGCTAGAGCTTAGATGTTTAGCATGAAACATCTTCTTATGGGTGTCTACCGAGTTTGTGCAAATAAAAGCCCTTGGGTTAAATTGGCCCTGCAACGTTGGGGGGGGGGGGGTGGGGGTTGGGGCCTATATACAGGTGAGCGACCTCAGGGCCATCATGGCCCTCTTGTTACAGTTCTCACTAAATGTCAGCAAGGGGGGGAGATATCCAATTCAAGAACTTTTGGGAAAAAAAGTCTAGCTTTTATAATTATAACCTTTCATTTTTACAGTAGTGTAATTTTGCCTTTTAATTGTCAGTCTCATACTGGTATATACACTATCCAGAGAGACTGTATATTTGCCTCTAATGTCTCTAAAATATGAGATTATGATAACGGGAAAACCTTAATCCTATGCAGAACAAAGGAGAGAAAAAACTTGAGACTATAAAAATAAAAAGACAGGAAATTACAGAAAATATGCGTCATATATCTGTTAACCCATTACTTCATGAGCATTTTGTGAAAAATGTTGTTTTCATTGAAAAGTCTCCTGTTACAAGTTCAAATTGCTATAAAACTATAAAAACTGCTAATTAAACTAATTAAACTTGGCACAAATTTTGAAAGTGGACCATTTCCTTTGTAACAACATGCTCAGGCTTAAATTTCCTGTTACCATGGCAATGAGGGGACATCTCAAAATTGCCGAAAATCACTATTTTGCGTCGATTTTTGGCCGAGTTATGGCCCTTTGATAAAAAGGTGTTTTTTTCTGTGTGTTGCCAGATACACAAAAGCTTGTCCGTCACAAAACTTGTCCGGACTACTCCTCATAAACTACGGGTGCAATTTCATCCAAACTTTACAGGAATGATCAGTACCAAGTCTCGTTGTGCATATTTTCAGCATTTTCCGGTTCAATGATTTTTGTAAGAGTTATGGCCCTTTAATAATTTTTATTAGCTCACCTGAGCTTGCTCAGGGTGAGCTTTTAGGATCGATGAATGTCCGTCGTCCGTCGTCTGTCGTCCGTCCGGCCGTCCACAATTGCTTGTGAACACTCTAGCGGTCGCATTTTTGCCTCAATCATCATCAAACTTGGTCAGGATGCTTATCTAGTTGAAAGCTCGGATGAGTTCGAACATGGGTCATCTCAGATGAAAAACTAGGTCACAAGAGCTAAAAATAGAAAAACCTTGTGAACACTCTAGAGGTCACATTTTTGACCCAATCTTCATCAAACTTGGTCAGGATGTTTGTCTAGGTGATAGCTCGGATGAGTTCGAACATGGGTCATCTCGGTTGAAAAAGTAGGTCACAGGAGCTATAAATAGAAAAACCTTGTGAACACTCTAGTGGTCACATTTTTGAACCAATCATCATCAAACTTGGTCAGAATGCTTGTCTAGTCAATTGCTTGGATGAGTTCGAACATGGGTCATCTCTGATGAAAAACTAGGTCACAGGAGCTAAAAATAGAAAAACCTTGTGACCACTCTAGTGGTCACATTTTTGACCCAATCATCATCAAAACTTTGTCAGGATGCTTGTTTAGATAATAGCTCGGATGAGTTCGAATATGGGACATCTCGGATGAAAAACTAGGTCACCGGAGCTATAAATAGAAAAAACCTTGTTAACACTCTAGCGGTCACATTTTTTGCATCAATCATCATCAAACTTGGTCAGGATGCTTATCTAGTTGATAGCTTGGATGAGTTCGAACATGGGTCATCTCGGATGAAAAAGTAGGTCACCGGAGCTAAAAATAGAAAAACCTTGTTAACACTTTAGCGGTCACATTTTTGCATCAATCATCATCAAACTTGATCAAGATGCTTGTCTAGGTAATAACTCGGATGAGTTCGAACATGGGTCATCACGGATGAAAAACTAGGTCACAGGAGCTAAAAATAGAAAAACCTTGTTAACACTCTAGTGGTCACAATTTTGACTCAATTGTCATCAAACTTGGTCAGGAAACTTGTCTAGCTCATTGCTGGGAATAAATCGAACATGGGACATCTCGGATGAAAAACTAGGTCACAGGAGCTAAGAATAGAAAAATCTTGTTAACACTCTAGTGGCTACTGTTGTGATCCAAATATTCTGTTAATTGGTCTGAAAGTTTGTTTTGATGATTTCTAAGTCAAGATCGAACATGGGTCATCTTGGATGAAAAACTAGGTCACACCGCCCAAATATGGAAAAACCTTGTTAACATTCTAGTGGTCACATTTTCGACTCCATTATCATCAAACTTGGTCAGAATGCTTGTCTAGGTAATTGCTTGGATGAGTTCGAAATCGCATGTGAAACTAGGTCACCAGAGCTAAAAATAGAAAAATCTTGTTAACACTCTAGTTGCTACTGTTTTGATCCAAGTATCCTGGAAATTGGTCTGAAAGTTTGTTTTGATGATTTCTAGGTCAAGTTTGAATATGTATCACCTGGGTAAAAAACTAGGTCGCACTGCTCAAATATGGATAATCCTTGTTAACACTGTAGTGGTCACATTTTTGACTCACCTGTCATGAGACTTGGTCAGAATGCTTGTCTAGGTAATTGTTTGGATGAGTTTGATAATTCAGGTGAGCGATCTAGGGCCATCATGGCCCTCTTGTTTTTAAAGTTTGTCAGGACTACTTCTCTTATACCACTAATGCAATTTCAATGAAACTTTACAGGATTGATCTGTAGTTCAAGCCCTTGCGCATATTGCACGGGTTTTCCGGTTGAATGAATTTTGGCCGAGTTATGGCCCTTTGATAAAAAGGTGTTTTTTTCTGTGTGTTGCCAGATACACAAAAGCTTGTCAGGACTAGTCCTCATAAACTACTGGTGCAATTTTATCCAAACTTTACAGGAATGATCAGTACCAAGTCTAGTTGTGCACTGTCTGTCTTTCTGTCTGTCCTTCTGTCACAAAACTTGTCCCCACTACTCCTCATAAACTACTGGGGCAATTTCATCCTAACTTTACAGGAATTTATGTCGCCACTACTCCAATCACTTCTCCGTCTGTCACAAAACTTGTCCCAACATGAAATTGGCCATCATGAGGTGACACATGTGATCACTGATCGCTCTTGTTTCACTGTTTGAAGCCTAAAAAAGGGGGGTGGGGTCAAACGGGGGTGGGGTTGAAAGTGTGTTGTTTCCGGTATATATGAGGTAAAGGGTTAAGTAAATAATCAAATTGATTGATAAAGACATTTTGACATTTTAGTGATAATATGTGTTTAATTTACAGATGTATAAAGATATGCAATTTTCTGTGGTGATAGTTTTCAAACCAAGTATTCGTGCTGTTGCTGTTGTAATTGGTACTGAAGATGGAGGAATTCACACCGAGGTTCGCCGTCTGTCAACTAAGTCATATAAAGAAGATGATGATGACAAAAATAGTTTTAAGACACAGTGGAGATGGTATTGGAAAGACGATTACAGTCGTTGGAACTTGTTTGACCAGGTTTATTACTTTATTACCTTTTCTATATATGTTAGATATTTAGCTCACCAGAGCTTGCTCAGACATGCTTTTAGGATCGTTGAATGCCCGTCGTCCGTCCACATTTGTTTGTTAACACTCTTGAGGTCACATTTTTGACTCAATCGTCATCAAACTTTGTCAGAATGCTTGTCTAGGTAATTGCTCGGATGAGTTTGAACATGGGTGATTGCAGATGAAAAACTAGGTCAAAGGAGCTAAAAATAGAAAAATCTTGTTCACACTTTTTATTGGAATATCCTGGAAATTGGTCTGAAAGTTTGTTTTGATGATTTCTAGGTAAAGTTTGAATATGGGTCACCTGGGGTCAAAACTAGGTCACACTGCTCAAATATGGAAAAACCTTGTAAACACTCTATGGGTCACATTTTTATATGCCCGAAAGAATTTCGGGCATATTATGTTATACCCCCTGGCGTCCGTCCGTCCGTCCGTCTGTCCGTCCGTCCGTCCGTTTGTCTGTCTGTTAGCAATTTGGTTTCCAGAGCATAACTTAAGTTCCATTTGGCCCACAGTATTCAAACTTCATAGGATGATTGTCCATATTGGGTAGAAGACCCCTATTGATTTTGGGGTCACAAGGTCAAAGTCACTATGACCTTAAAACTGAAAACAGTTTCCGGAGCATAACTTAAGTTCCATTTGGCCCACAGTGTTCAAACTTCATAGTATGATTGTCCATATTGGGTAGAAGACTCCTATTGATTTTGGGGTCACAAGGTCAAAGGTCAAGGTCACTATGACCTTAAAACTGAAAACAGTTGCCGGAGCATAACTTAAGTTTCATTTGGCCCACAGTGTTCAAACTTCATAGGATGATTGTCCATATTGGGTAGAAGACCCCTATTGATTTTGGGGTCACAAGGTCAAAGGTCACTATGACCTTAAAACTGAAAACAGTTTCTGGAGCATAACTTAAGTTCCATTTGGCCAACAGTGTTCAAACTTCATAGGATGATTGTCCATATTAGGTAGAAGACCCCTATCGATTTTGGGGTCACAAGGTCAAAGGTCAAGGACACTATGACCTTAAGAATTGAAAACAGTTTCTTGAGCATAACTTAAGTTTCATTTAGACCACAATGTTCAAACTTCATAGGATGATTGTCCATATTGGGTAGAAGACTCTTATTGAATTTGGGATCATTTGGTCAAAGGTCAAGGTCACTATTACCTTAAAAATGAAAACAGTTTCGAGAGGATAACTTTAGTTCCATTTGGCCCACAATATTCAAACTTCATAGGATTATTGTCCATATTTAGTTGAAGACCCCTATTGATTTTGGGTCACAAGGTAAAAGGTCAAGGTCACTATTACTTAGAAATTGAAAACAGTTTCTTTAGTCTAACTTAAGTTCCATTTGGCCCACAATATTCAAACTTCATAGGATGATTGTCCATATTAGGTAGAAGACTCTTATTGATTTTGGGGTCACAAGGTCAAAGGTCAAGGTCAATATTACCTTAAAACTGAAAACAGTTGTCGGAACATAACTTAAGTTTCATTTGGCCCACTGTGTTTAAACTTCATAGTATGATTGTCCATATTGGTTAGAAGACCCCTATTGATTTTTTGGGTCATAAGGTCAAAGGTCAAGGTCACTATTACCTTATAACTGAAAACAAATTCTGGGGCATAACTAAAGTTCCATTTGGACCACAATATTGAAACTTCAAAGGAGGATTGTTTTGTGAAGGAGGTAATACTTTATTTAATTACCATGTCTTACAAATGCTTCATCTTTACCAAAAAAAAAAATCACTTTCGGGCATATAATGCTCCGCCTAGCGGTGCTCTTGTTTAACTCAACTGTCATGAAACTTGGTCAGGATGCTTGTCTATGTAATTGATCGGATGAGTTCGATAGGTCAGGTGAGCGATCAAGGGCCATCTTGGCCCTCTTGTTTGATGTCAATTTATCTGTCATTCATCATCCACAGTTGTCAACAATTTCTTTTAACAACATCCGTTCTGAAACCACTTGATGGGTTTTGATTCCACTTCACAGAAATGATACTTAGATGTTTATTTACAAAATTCAGTCAGATAAATGGTTCCAGTCTAATGCTTTGCATGTAGTATCTTGTGATCCTGTACAAAAGATTTATAAACCATGTCCATAAATATTTAATAGGTATAAATTGTGCATGACCTTTGGATCACATAGTTTATCTAGACTTGTTATTGTTAAGGAAATGGCCCCACCCTTGGAGTCACTTTCTTAAAAACAAGAGTTAAGCTATTTGCATGTAATATCACCTTGCATTCCTTTATAAAATATTTTTAAATATGTTCCTTGAGTCAAAATTTGCCTCCGTCCCAGGGTCACTTAGCCAGGGGTCACTTAGTTAAAATAGGAAAATACATTTAAGTGCCTTTTTTGTGATAATCTAGAGCTTAGATATTTGTTACATTGCCAAGTGGACATTAACAAAAGTATTTTCAAGCCCCTCAGGTCAATAATTGCTTCCATTCTTGATTGGGGTCACTTAGTTACATAAACTACAAATACATGTAGTGAAAAAAGGATTAAAGTTTGTATGAAACCATTATTTGAATATGGATTAAATATATTTTGAACATTGTTCTACTTGTTTCGAAAATGATTACTCAATCCAATGAAGTGGTCAAAGGTCATATTAAAAATTAAAATATGTTTTTGTTATATTTAGCCATCATAAATGAGGGTTTTAATGTAAAAAATTAATGTTCACCATTACGAGACTGAGCCTGACACTTGTAGTTTAATATCGTAGATTTGCTTTAATTGATTTATATAGTACCAGTAGGCTACCTTAAACCAATTTCTAGATCTTGTTTGTAGTTTGTAGCTAAAACTGGATCGTTGACTAAAGCAGACAAATAAAAAAGATTGAAATGATTTACAATTGAAATTAATACATGTATCTTCTTAGGTTTGATGAAATAAATAAGTTATTTATATATAAATGTTTTAGGAAGCAATGCAGCATACACTAGAGGTAAAGTATCTTGCCAAGCAGAAAGACTTTAATTACTCGAGGGAGAATTATCGTTTCAAGTACGTCATTGACTTCAAAGAAATGAAGCAGAGAAACATAGGTACACGAAAAGTGCGAGAAATCAGCAGACTGCCTATTTTCGTACCACTGCAAAATGTTGCAGGAAAGCAATTGTAAGTGGATAGTCATTGTTTGATACTACAATTTTCCAAACACATATTTGTGTGTGACTTTTATAGCCATGTTGATAAGGTTTCTGGTTTCAAATCAATTGATTCTAACTGCTGTTTTTTTGCTGTGAATTCTGCCTTAAATATTTAATACTTCTGTGTTAGTAAGAGCTTAAATACTGTTGTGTGGTGGTTCTAACCCACGTGTCATACATACTTGAAATAATGCAGTACAGGAAGTTAGCATTTGTGATGGTGTGTTGTCAGCATAGGTTATCTTATAAGAATCTTACACTGGCTGCCGGAACAGACCGGAATATCTGTCATATGTTGCGATTCAGATCAGAATATCCGTCTCGAGGAGACCCCACCCATTGGGCTGTTACAAGGCTTCCGAGTTACCGCCCATGGGCAGGTTCCAGAGGGACGGATATTCCGATCCAAACCACTAACATATGTCAGATATATTTTCTTGCATATTCTGCCATATTATTTCATATTCAAAATGGTTTACCTCAATAAGATATTTGTTGTTCATGGAAATTAATGTCATTTCACCCATAACTTTTTCTTACAATAGCGTATGAATTTACAACTTTAATAACAACGGCAAAATGATGTCCTCGTAAGCACATAGTTTCCTTCTAAAATGACGTCATTTTAACGTGTTTTTTCATGAAATGCGCTAAAATGACCTTGTCAGGCAACTCATCTGGCCCTCCCCAGTCCAGATGTAATTTCAGGTGTGGGTAAACCTAATGGAAACGCCAGTCTGCTATGCAAGAAATGGTTTTCTAGCACCGGTGTTAACGGGAGATAATCATGTCTGATTTGCAAGAAATTGTTATCTACAATGTCTTAAACAACGTCATCTGCATTGACCAAACTTCATAGAATTTATCATTTAGTGACTTCGTATAATAATTTTACAAGTTGTTCTAGTCAAATGCACAAGAATGCCACAGGAGTTAAAAACAGAATACAAAAACAAAATCTTAAAAATCTGAGAAAATACAGAATCCAGAGCTTAGATATGTGATACCTTATTGTTTTATATGAGATCTGATTAAATTATGACGGTGGATATATATCAAATTTGAGGATAATATATCATTAAGTTGTAATGATTTTTCAGTCCTACAGCATTATCAGCTGCTCCAGCTGTAGAAACACCTCTACCAGATAAATGGGTACCGTGGGATCTTGCTCACCCATTTGAGCTGGTTACAATTGAAGAGAACAGTGAGATCTATACCTGGGTATCTGACAATTTCTACAGGACATTGAGTCGTACAGAGATACAGATTGATACAATATTCAGAATGCAGAATTATAAATTACGAAGTCTGTACTGCAAGTAAGCTGCTTTATTTATATGTGTACAACATAGGTTGATTATAGTTTACTGTTGTATTGGTTTGGTTTTACATCGGACTAACACAGTGTAAGTCATATGGTGACGTTCCAGCTTTACTGGTGGAGGAAGACCTCAGGTGCCCCTCCATGCATTATTTAAGGCACGAATGGGCAACTGAGTAGTACCACTGACATTCTGTAAGCTAGCTGGATATCTTCCTCACATAAAAAAATCCAAAGTCCCTGTCAGGAATCAAAACCAATGGTGGTGAGGAGAGAGTGATTTGAAGTTGAACGACCTTAACCACTCGGCCATAGACACACCTTCAACGACCTTATCCACTCGGCCATAGGCACACAATCAACGACCTTAACCACTCGGCCATAGGCACACCTTCAACGACCTTAACCACTCGGCCATAGGCACACCTTCAACGACCTTAACCACTCAGCCATAGGCACACCTTCAATGACCTTAACCACTCGGCCATAGACACACCTTCAAACGACCTTAAACCACTCGGCCATAGGCACACCTTCAACGACCTTAACCACTCGGCCATAGGCACACCTTCAAAAACCTTAACCACTCGGCCATAGACACACCTTCAACGACCTTAACCACTCGGCCATAGACACACCTTCAACGACCTTAACCACTCGGCCATAGACACACTTCAACGACCTTAACCACTCGGCCATAGGCCACACAATCAACGACCTTAACCACTCGGCCATAGGCACACCTTCAACGACCTTAACCACTCGGCCATAGGCACACCTTCAATGACCTTAACCACTCGGCCATAGGCACACCTTCAACGACCTTAACCACTCGGCCATAGGCACACAATCAACGACCTTAACCACTCGGCCATAGGCACACCTTCAACGACCTTAACCACTCGGCATAGGCACACAATCAACGACCTTAACCACTCGGCCATAGGCACACCTTCAACGACCTTAACCACTCGGCCATAGGCACACTTCAACGACCTTAACCACTCGGCCATAGGCACACCTTCAACGACCATAACCACTCGGCCATAGGCACACAATCAACGACCTTAACCACTCGGCCATAGGCACACCTTCAACGACCTTAACCAACTCAGCCATAGGCACACCTTCAATGACCTTAACCACTCGGCCATAGGCACACCTTCAACGACCTTAACCACTCGGCCATAGGCACACCTTCAACGACCTTAACCACTCGGCCATAGGCACACCTTCTGTTGTATTGAATGCCTCTTTGATACATGAACATGTAGTATGAGAAAGTTGGTATTACTTTCAGGAATAAGAAAGGGCAGATTAAACTGTATGACTACTCAGCAATATTAAACAATCAAGGGCATAATTGTTCTCATATTTTACAATAAAACTATATGATCAGTTTTAGATTAACAGAAATCACCCTTCTATGAAAAAATATCTTATTTACAAGATAGCTAGTGTAGTAAACAATTTAAGATGAATAATAACAGACGGTTGTATTTCTGAAGTATGTGGTTACTAATCTGTTACTCTTTTGATTTGTAAATGATTAAAGTCAGATTCCATTATGTTTGGCTTGAAAAATACATGTGTATATACAGATATTGTTTTATTTTTGTCACACTTAATTTCAGTCAGGAAAAGTCAATGCTTGCAAATCTGAAAAGATTGGGTAAGGAAGGACCAATCTACCAGCGATACTTGTTTCATGGAACTGATAGTCTCGATGCAGTGCGGGGTATCAGTATTAACAACTTAGATAATCGTGTATCTGGTAAAAATGCCACTATGTATGGAGATGGTGCGTATTTTGCGAGAGATGCCAAATATAGTCATGCATACACTGGTAGCGGACCAGAGAGATTTATGTTTTTGGTGACAGTATTGGTTGGAGATTACACATTAGGGGATAGAAGTTACAGGCGCCCTCCTAATAAACCAGGGAACGATCATGAACTCTATGATTCCTGTGTTAACAACATTGACAATCCATCTATATATATTGTTTTTGATAAGAATCAGTACTACCCAGAATACCTTATTCAGTATCATAAACAGTATGAAGATTTTCATACAAGCACTGTGCCGAAACCACGGAAACCGGTCGTTCTTTCTGGACATGGAGCTGTTGGTGGTTTGAACACAGGCGTGCACCAACCAGCAGTGTTTCCGACTAGAAGACGTTCACCAAGTCCACCAGTACTGGTTTATCCTCCTACATCAAGTAGTACCAGAACTTCTGTGTCACCACCAAGACTGCGAACCAGAATCC